CCAAACTCAAGCATTCTATGATTCTATAACCAGTTTTGAGGTACTCACTTGGAGATGCCCAGCGCAGTGATTTCTGCTGGATGTGCGTTGTCTTTGCGATCAAATGCTGTGTGCATAGTTAGCTTGCTCCTAAACACTAACTGACGCTCCCATCTGTATCCTGGAAAGGAGGAGAAAAAGTGAGTTTACTTGCTCTCGTTTTTGTTATTTCTCATGTGCACACATACATAATTTTACAAAAAGGAAGAATCATCATCATCTCCCCAGAGGCAGACAACTCTCTACAACTCACACTTCACTTACTGATAATCACTGCTCCCCAATGCACATAAGAAAGGAGAGGATGGAATACAAGGCAGAGAGACTTTTGATTGCTCAAAGTCTAGCTGAGAGTTGCAGCTAGACCTATGTAAATGCACCTATGTAAAATACATAGGTGAACCTTGTTTCAAAGCACAACAGGACTAAGGTAGGATTGCTTCATTTCTTAGAAGTCAGGCACTGATTTCAAACTATGGGGAACTGGAGCTTCTTAGGAAAAGTCTGAACAATGTACAACCTCTGCAGACAATTTTTTCTCTTGTTTTGCCATTTATCAGCCACACATGAAGCTCAACTGACTGGGGAAAGAACACCATTTAAAGACATCTGTTTTCTAAACTACAACACAGCCCTGAGCAGACAGAGAGGGAAGCCTTAGGGCGCAGTGCTGACAGCACATTTATGTCCCAGAGGCAGTGTTCCCAGCTTACCTGGTTTCAGCTTGCTGTAGTGCCGTGCTTCAGGGTAGCTGGCGTGTGGGTGGTTAACCTGAGCGTGGGGATGCACTTTCGCTTGTCCCTCCGAATAATTCACAAAGATGAAGCCATCCTTCTCATCCAGGCTGAGCTGGTCCGACCAACGCCTGGAGTCGTCGGAGCCGCTGTCTGCTGACCACGCTGCTGCTGCCCTGTTGGACGACGACCTCGGCCGGTGGCTGGTGCTGCTCGGTTGGCTCTGACTCTCTTGTGGTTTCACATCGTGGCTGACGCACGGGTCATCTGCCTCGGAATCACTGCTCTCCTCTTCCTGGGCTTCCTGCCCTGGATGACGCAAGGAGTGGATGGTGTTAGCAAGACTCCTTTCCTGCCTGAGCTTTTTTCCTGTTCAGCAGTTGCACTGCCTTTCTGCAAAGCTCAAACAACTAAACACTCAGCAATGGTGAAAACCAGGCTGAGAAACCCGATACAGACTAGGTTTTAAGTCTGATATCATGCCATGATTTTATTTAAAGAAATATTTAGCTTTTTGACAATGGTGGCATTCACTGGGTTTACTGGCAACTGAAGCAGTCACACAAAGAAAAGTTTACTCTAAACACAAGAAATGT